GGGGGGGGGGGAGAGAGATTTTCTATATATAAAGGGACGGTCGTGTGGTGAGAACTTGACCAATATTGCGAGAGTTTTGCAGTTATTGTTCTGTCTTCGGAGTTCATATTGTTCTTCTTATATCGGTGTAAGAAGGAACTGATTCTCTCCATCGAATCCTGAATTCAGTTCGATCTGATTCTCTATCCGTCGATCTAAATATCCTCTGTTTCAGGTTGGGTTTGCAGAAATGGCGAAACCCATTTCCTTCCACGAACTGGCGAAACACAAGTGCAGGAACAACTGCTGGATTCTCATCCACGACAAGGTCTTATCATTATATGCATCGTGTATATGTATGTATGTATGTACGTATGATTATGTAGCATGTATCTTCTGTCTCATCATAACAACAAGTTAAACATCGCAGGTTTATGATGTGAGCAGCTTCATGGATGAACACCCCGGCGGAGACAATCTATTGTTATCTGTAACCGGTAGGTACCCTTTTCTCCTAAGAATCTGTTTCAAATCATACGTAGAAATTCCATAACGTTCGTCATTGGAATCATTTTGTAAAAAGGCAAAGATGGGTCGGATGATTTCGACGAGGTAAGCCACAGCGACGAGGCCAAGGCCATGATGAAGAAGTTTTTCATAGGGGAAGTGGACAAATCGACGGTCCCCTCGACGAAGAAGTACGTTCCCCCGTGGAAGGAGGGTCAGGCCACGGCCGTCAAACCCTCTGGTTCAAACAAGATGCTTCAGTTCCTGGTCCCTCTCCTCATCCTCGGGCTTGCCCTAGTTTTCAGATTCTACACCAAGTAAAGATCGAGTTCACGAACTCTTTGTTTCGTGAATCTGTGTCTGTAATTCCGTGTTTGTGAATTGTAGTATTGGTCGTGTTTTCGTGTCCGAACCGGTGTTTGTAATAATGGTCCATCAAAGAGAAGAGTCGGTCCATGGTTTCCAATTCCACTGTCAAATGCTTTCAATTGAAACTCAAACTGTGTTTGATAAAACCGGGTCCAATATCATTATTGGGTCTGTTTCATAAATGGGCTTGATGGGCCGGGCTTAGTAATAGTATGCGATTCTCTCTAAAGAGGCCGAAAGACGAGAAAGAATCATGGAATGTAATATTTATATAGATGCAAAATGCCACTCTGTAATTTTATAATTTAATTTCTCCGGCAAACCCACTTAACCTGCCCATTTAACTTCCGACATGTTGGGCACACAAGTTTTTTTTTTTGTCCGGTGTTCCCATCACATCTTTTGGCCATTTACTCTATTTACTTATCATGTTATTAACTCTATACGGTACCTCATCAACCCTTTCCTACATATGTATTCAGTATACATACATATATATATATATATATATATGTGTAAGCAGTATTTTGTCGTGACTCGGGAGTTGTGCCTTGGTATTTTGTTGTAGATACATACATACATGCATATATGTATGTAAATGTGAAGATTTGAATCCATCAAAAGCAAATTCTTAGATACTCGTCTCATTTGTCATCTTCGTACTAATAGGATAAGACCGATTACAATCAAATAATGTCATATTTAGTTCTCTAATGAAATAAAAAAAAAACTTATATATATGGCCACTCCTAATAGGGCCTAAAAAGTGTGGCCATCCCTTTAATAATTCATGTGTCGTAATCCTCGTCAAAATTTCACATGCGAGTTTCACACGGCCTTGATACAATGATACTACATGTTTCATCGTTGACAGACAATTACATTAGTAATTTACGTTCGATCACATTTCCAAATCGTTGGCGGTCCAATCTTCTTTAATAAAGAATGCAGATATTACGCTCTTAATATATATCATATATATGATTGTATACAAAATCTTTGTGTCTTTTAACAAAAGTGATATTTGTGGACAGACAGAGATCTGCCACTAGGTTTTTGGTCTCTCTGTGATTTGTTCTTTGTAAAGTTAAAGCCTTCCTCCTCCGTCCATGTCTAAGCTCCGTTATCCAAGGTCTTCTGTCTACTAAATTATGGCAAAGCCTAAACACTACAAAAAAACCTGCATATAGCGACGAAATTTGCGACGGAAATTTTCGTCGCACAGAAAATTGCGACGGAATGTGACGATTTTACGACAGAATGTGGAAAAAAATTATCCGTCGCAAACAATCGCAAAATCCGTCGCAATTTGCTACGGTTTGCGACGGATAATTCTGTCACAACAAAGAAATAGATGATTTGCGACGGAAAATAAAAATTGCGACGGATTGCGACGGAATATTCCGTCGCAATGTATTTGGTTTCATTTTTCGACGAAATTTTTTGAATTTTGGGCGCGTAAATTAATTTCATTTTGTGACGGATTGCGATGGAAAATTCCGTCGCAAAACGCAATATAAAACCACGAGTCGTCTTCTTCATCAGATTCAAAGATTTTCGGAAAAAAAAATAAAAATCG